ACCGCAAAAGTTTGTCCATTGGGAGGAAAACAGTGGTATGTTTAACAAAATGTACGGTCAGTGAGCAGTGTACACACAACTCACAGCCGTTATCTTGTGGTATGAATTCAATTTTGATGTAAGGATGAGAGGATCTCTGCACAGAATCAAGGATAGACAAATTTACCATCGATCGTTTTGACGTGTGAGCTTGGGACACTCAAACTGAAAAAACCGCACGGGGAAAACATGGGTGGACCTGTGATGCTTGAAAAGTGCAAAAATCCCGTTAACTCAGATCATCGTCCTAATTACATGCGATCCCCATCATCCATAAAGGAACTTCAAGCTGTCTCTTCATCGCCCCCGAATCGGCTGGATTTGCCCGATGTCTTTTAGCCGTTAGTCTCGGTGAATTGGACAACTCACGTTTGTTGAGCACCTTATTGTCAGGTCACTTTTCCCATACAGCGTATTCGGTTCTGTTTGTCGAGCCTTGCATTTGGATTGCAAACGTTCCACTATCAATCGTCAGTGTGGATTCGAGTGGGTACATTGTTCCTCTTCTACCTGTGCTTATACCATTTCTGAACAGGCCTTAGTAATTGAGGCGGCTTTCACCTCGTTTTATTAGTCAGCTTGGAATCTGAGTCACGTTCTGTTTTTATCTCCTTGCATCCAGTCGTTTCGTTAGATGCCTTTGATTCTTGATCCGTTTGCCACTAGCTTTGTGGTCTAGTTCCCTTCGATCGGATCCGTTGATTGGATACCGTTCTTTTTTTCAATGGGGTTACCAGAGTAACCAGTTGCTATCCTTCATTGGAAACATGGCCATCGTCTGCCAAGAAGGAATGTTTAATCCTCGCAGTGACAATGTCTTCCGTATACAGAGTGTATCGATACGGCTTGTACAAGCGGCCAAAATCGAAGATCGATTTTGGATCCGAATATAGTCACAGTACTACTTTGTTAGTAGTTAGTTGCTGAGTTATCCATGAGAATTAGCCATGCTGAAGCGTGGATAGTTACTAAGCCAAGTTTGGACACGCAGATCAGTTAAGTTCAACTCCACCTCAGACAAGAAGTGACACACAACGATTTCTGGACGGAAACTTCAGGAGGAATTGCGGCCTGAAACGGGTGTGACTTTCTGCGCTACCGAAAATTGTAACTGCAGATCTGAATGAAATATGATCGGAAAAATGAGTAGGAACATAGCGACTGTGATCAGCTGCTTAGTGGACCACAGAACGACAGTTATCTGCATACATCAACGGTTGGGAGTCTGACTGCATGTATGGTTGTAGAACTTTTCCGCACCCCACCGTCCCAGTGGTATTCGTCAGATATCATGGATTTAATCTACCCAGGTCCCATGGAATGTCTAGCTGTCGTGCGCGCAACTTTGGGCGTTCAGCTGGCCCAAAAAGTGCGCTCGACATAATCAATTACATCTCAGGTGTGGAGCCTATGTGAAACGATTGTTCTGTAACTAAAGTTGACTAGAGGTGGTGGATTGGTGTTTGGTTGTCCTATTGGTCCTCTGTGGCGGTAGCGAACGTCAGCTGACAACACCTGACGTTTTTGTGCCTGTGTTTTACAGTAAATTAGAAGACGAGAATAAAACGTGTTTCCCTTGAATTCAACATAAAATCACGCATTTTGTCTTTTGTATAAAGTTGAACATCATCAAAATCACACTGTTCCAAGAGAAGGTCCGATACAAGCAGTTGATTTCCTTGTAACTCACTTCTCACGACTGGGCTTTTTTAGAGAAAAAACACGACTGAATGCTTTACAAAACCACATTAGCATAAGTCGTATACACCATGCATAGTGCCAAGCCGTCACGAAGGAAATACCGGACCTCACGATGAACGAACTCTACACTTCCGTGACTGACTGGGCCGCACTGAAGAATAAATCCGTGACAGATTTGTTGACTAGCACAGTTTTCAGATCCTCGAAGCTGGCGGGCATCACCATGCATGACTATCTGTCTGTCTTGCCTTGTTGCAGGGCGTTGGAGCTCAGACCGCTGACTTAGGACCTTTCTTGTTGTCATGACTAGATTTGACAGTGCTGGAATTACGCCATCTGAAGTACAATCCGCCGTCGCCAATAGCCACCATCTCCGTCAATTTACTTGCTGTGTAAGACAGACAGCTCATAGAGATGTCGGCAGAGACGCACGGTTGCCATTCACTTTACTCAGCCCTAATCGACCTTGAAGCGGGAGATGACTGGCATGTTCATTGTCTATTTCCTCCAACTCGTTCAAATCGATTCCCTCTCCTAGATTGTTTCAAAAGTGCAAGCCATGCACTGACGTGGTATTTCATCTCTTTTTGTAGGTTTTCCGGAAAGCCGACTAAATGGTGAGACTTGAAACCCGGGGACCTCTGGTTCACCGTCTCAAATTCTCCAGCAACGAAGTTGTAGACGGTCATTAAAGTGTTCTTTTTTAGGTCGTATTTGGCAGATCTTTTCAAAACCAAACTTGATAGTAAAAGAACTAAGCGCACTCATCGCGCAGCTTATATTGTATTGTTTTGCTTGGATGACATCTTTGTTTTGCCGACAATGCAAAAGAAGCGCGATCTAATTAGATGTCTCAATGAGTGAGCAATGAATGGGGACTAAAGTCCAGCAAAACGTATCGTACTAAAAAAACGCTACCTATAGAGTACAATGCTGAGCGATATTCAGATTGAAAAAGGTATATCTACTTAAGACCCTACTTCGGAGATACCTTCGCTGCAAAATGAGGTACGAGAACTGTTGGGCTTATGGGGACTAGGATGTACATGTCCACTCCCCTTCGTTTTGGTTCCAAAATATCGGTTTCCATTTCTTGAAGGATAAATTGCCAAATTCTCACTGGCTTCTCCGTGTGCCCACTGGTATGCCTGTGTCGAGCATTTTGCGTTGATCGCTGGCTAGATAACGAAAAAATTGTTCCATTTCATAAAGGAAACTACTCACATTGTTGCTGAAAACTCTTCGACAGCTCACGACCGGACGCAACCTCCGAATTCGTGTTACAATGGGAAAAATCCGTCCCCATGAGATTGTCTGATATTACATTTACTCACTTGATCTCGTAACTCATCGACCTGTTTTCTTCCCGTCCCTCTTCCATGAGTTTCACATAACTCGCACGAAATTCCCTGTCATATTAGCCAATAGGAAAAATAACAGAGAACCAGTTTTGTTCTTTTCCCTCCTTTGGTATTAATAAACCTTCAAGGACTTGAATTTCTGTCATTTTACTGGGAGGTCGATCTGTGACTGCTTTTACGTGATATCAATGTCCGAAACAGTGGGAATCGATTGGTCACGTGTTCCCCTCTGCACATAAGTTGACCCTAAGCTTAGCTTAAGCTCATCGACCCGCCGCTTGTGTTTTTTTTTAAAAAAAAACACTCACAGCGTTTGAAAGAATCATGGCGATTGAAGAGGCCGAGGATCGTAAACCGAAACTCCTATTGCGAGACTACCCACTGCAAGCCGCCTAACCGCTCCGCCATCATATACGAACTGCTCTCCGGTCTGCGACATGCCCTGCTCTTTATCCACACTACAGCACGAACCGGGGTATCAAGTCAATGGGGATTGGAGTTCATTGTCGCAGCACTCATGGGGACATATTACCGCTGCTCAGCTCAGAACAAAGCTCACCAACTCCTCAGGAATCAAGCGTCTCAGCCGGTCCTAACAGAAGAAGAAATGGAGGCCACAAAAGTTCCTAAGGATGTCCGACAGTTGTGCCAGCTGATACGTGAGAAAGACTGTAGAAGGCAATGAAACGAAAAAATGTACAAGAACGCCATATATCGTCAGCTATCTCGCGCATCAGATTCAAGGTCACGTGGATCCGTGGATGAGAGGAAAGTGACGCGACAGGAGAGGATAAGATGGATTAGGAAATTTCTGGCTTTCATTGGAACTTGCCACTTTTAAAGTGGAGGCCTGTGCTTGGTGGCAGAAGTCTCGGACATTCCAGCCACAAATCTGTCATTAAAGCCGTTACTGTCAGATACTTTGAGCAGTGGAGGATAACATTACCAACCCATTTGTTTCATTTTTAAATCTTACTTGCTGTACTGTAGACGGCCTTGAGGAATCCGGTACTATAATTATGTAGCTTGACCGTACGTCATTTCTGTGTCAGTATAGAATGAGGCGATGTCAGCTACCTATCTACAGACGGTTAACCTGAGAACCGGTACTATTGCCGGACGTTACGGGAATAGTACGATTTACCCAACAAAGTGTTTGGTGAGTAACGACATAATTTTACCAATCTAAGAAGGTAATCGAATTCTGAGCAACAGAGTACGTGAATAGAGGAAAATGTTGGTAGCTCAGGTAGCGTAGATGGTGGTCATTGGCTTGTTCGCTGAGCTGGGCAATTTGATTGCAAACGTTCCATCACCAATCGAGGTGACACCATCAGTGCGTTATTGTGGAGCGTAGGAGTGCGTACCGGCAGTAGTACCGGTAGTACCGCTACGCACTCCTACGCTCCACAGTAACGCACTGATGATGCCACCTCGATTGGTGATGAAACGTTTGCAATCAAATTGCCCAGCTCAGCGAACAAGCCAGAGTACGTGAATACCACTCGACGGGCGTATAGTGAGAAGGCCAGGTTTAAGTCTGAACGATGAATCCCTTGGAAACGGGATTCGTCAGTTAACAGCTAACAGATAACAGAAGCAAGGGTGATTCAACTTAGCAAATAAATACTGTGCGATGAGTTAGAATCACCAGACTGTAAGGAGGAAACTTTCAAAAGTACTCATGCTCAACAAAACCTAGTCCATTCTGGCAGAATTTACTGTAAGGAGGAATCTTTCAAAAGTACTCATGCTCAACAAAACCTAGTCCATTCTGGGCAGAATTTTCTACGGTCGAAAAGAAACCAGTGTTTCCATACTCTCTATTCGTCAGTATAGTAATTTGTTTGGTGCAACCAGACTAACGAAAAAATATCAGCCGAGGGTTGGTTAACTTACCTCCTGTAACTGAACCTCATGTCGAGTCAGTTTCACCAGTGCGTCACTGTTCAGGACCTGAAAGGAAAGAGAAAAACCCAAGTAATTCGGCGTTTGCTAAGTAGAGTCTTGACGCGTGAAAACTAAAGAAAATTGACAGTTGCGAACCAGACGCACCGGTGAAATGTACTCGCTTGTATACATTGTTTAGCTTACTGGTTTCGCTACCAAACCGTGGAAAATTCAACATAGAAGGCTGCATCTGTACGAAGCCTGCCTGCACTAAGATAACACCGGCGATTCATGAATTACTCACTGTGGAATCTAGGTAAAATTAAGCCAGGTGTAGAGAGGATGGATTTTGTGATTGACCAAACAAAATGGTTGAATCAAAACGAAATGCAAATGAAAGGTCGTATAAAATATTTGCCCTTCATCTGGACCTTTGGAAATTTGTCCATGCCCCCATCCAAATCAGAATGGTTCTCCAATCAACCATAGTTATGATGAAACCAAACTTTGGCTTTCAAAGCTGTCTTAAAAAAGGAAACTACTCAAAAGGTTGCTGAAAACTCTTCGACAGCCCACTTTGGGCTCATCAGGTAGGCGCAGTCCCCGAGTTTCCCTCAACCTTATGTTCCACTTGAAACCAAATTGCACGAAATTAGCGAATATACACTTACTTGCAAATTAATTTGGTTTTTCGAGAGACCCAGCTGAATCTCTCGGTTTTGATGTTTCCAGACAAGGCCGTCAAGGAGTTTTCAGCAACCGTATGAGTAGTGAATTACAAAATATACATGTATCGCGATATCTTGAATATCGTAGCGACTGTAACATGAGGCGGTCTGGTGCAGCACATTCAGTTGCTTGGAAACACCAAAACCAAGAGTGTCACAAATTTAATTTTTTTGCGGACGAAATGGAAGAAGTGGTGTACGTATTTCCAAATCACTTTCAGCAAATGGTTCACATCCCAAGCGTACAGTCAAGCTACCACTTGCAGTTCAAGGCATTCCGATCGGATCGTGCATTAGCTCTGATGATGACGGAGTTACGGGCGAAGTATTTACAAAGGTCTCACAGGAACTTCCATGCGACTTGTTGAGTTATGAAGACACAATTCTGAGTGAAACGTTTTGTGTGTACCAACTTTCGGTATAGATTGTAGTCAAATGATTGCGAGATTCGGGTTTAAAGGACAGGGGATGTGAGGCCTGTCAAAGTTGTCAACAACCGACGCAGGCACTAAAAAATTTTCAATTTGGTGATTGGAAGCCGGCTAGTGCGCAAACCACGAATGGCAGCACAAGCCACGATGATTTCGTCATTTGTCCCACTAGCCGGGGGAAATGTTGCCTTCCATGTCAAATACAGAGTGAAAAAACTCAGGGGTAGGCGAACTGTGCCGTCACAGGAAGAAATTAGGGAGCTTGCGGAATTTGTGGGATATTTTGGCGCTGTTTGTCTTCCAGGATGAAGTCTGTGCTTGGCAAAGGACGTCGCTTGTTACAGTCACTGACCTAGTGATTGTTGTACTTGTTAGTTTTCATCCAGATTGTTGGATGAGGCGACAGACATGAATGCTTGTAGTAGACCCCCACGGGACCATTTTCCGGTCTGAGGAATAAAGTGTCACGGCTCTGGACGCGCAGCTGGGCATGGGTGTTTTCAAACACATACTGCTTTTAAGTAGGATGGAAAAGATGATGAGTTTGCAAAAGTTCCGTGTCTCGGATGTACGTGGTTTCAGGGAACAAGTCAGCAGCTCCGCCGATAGCTTCTGTCCTTGTCGTAGATCAACTGGGACATTACGGTGGTGTCTAGTGAAGCCCATGTTTCCGTTCCGATTTGTGTGTAAAGCTCAATGGTGCATGAATCATATATGAAAATGTGTCCCCCCGATGGGTCTTGTGCTACTCTGTGGAAGTACACTGCTTGTGGCATCGCATCCCTTTTATCGCATGCATGGTCGTTCATCTATCAAGTTTCACTTTCCCCAGGTAAAATAATATAAGAGGAGCCTCCAAACTGTTTGCTTTGAAATTCGGAGTGTATTTTTCATGAAGTGAACAATGTTTGATCATACTGATTTGAAGATCGTGGTACCCACCTACAGCGCCAGCTATTTACGATATCTGTGTTTCTCCGTGCATTCGAAGAACGAATTCAGTTACACTAGAAGAAATGTTTGGAGGCGTGTGGCTCTCAAACAGTATGCTAGTTGAACCACTGCACTTGAGCAGATTCTCGCAGTGATACTTATCGTGTCCGCCGCTACCATGAAGGGTCGATTTTGATGCTACAGCAAAGTTGGTGACATTCGGAGTTGGATGCTTTTACCACCCGACTAGAGGCCTATGATGCGTTTCGGATCGACCGACCAGTCAGTCGGATTTCGTAGCAGCGCTGTTCTGGTCGTATATATTAAGCCCGATGGTTGTCATTTCACGCACGTTTGTTACAAATATTCAGTCATTCGACTCTGAAATGCGAGGTCCGTTTTTACGGGAATTGATTAATTTTACACTAGACTCGGCCCACAAGTTTTAAAGCCATCAAACTAAGGTGACGCTTAGTAGGGTCATAATTTCCAAGCAAGTGTCTGTGAGTGCCTTCTGAGCTTGACCAATCCAGAAAAAGTCGATGAACGTGCGAGCCAGCTGATCTATTGATCACTGTTGCGCACAAGCGGGTCAAACAGTGATACCAAGAATACAGCTCATCAGTCAAGGGCGAGTGAAAGAACAACCAATGGAATCTGTCTCTCAACGGAAAACGGTTCTTCCATTGGCTGTTATGTAGTCCCGTTACGTTCGGAGCTGGTTCTCCTGATAATAGGTCTGACATTTTTGGCAAACGTCTTGGGACTTAACCACTGATGCATATTTTCCGAAAGGGGTCAAAGGCCGAACGAAATTATGTGCTTGTAAACGTCATCAAAAACTTCACAGCTGTGCCTCACCCTCCTTTTTGAGCCTGTTTCTTGAAACATACTCTAAGAATAATCATGAGCATAAGACTAGAGGAAAATCGTATAGGCAATAAGGGACGTACTGCTCACTAATTAACATCATGATAACGTAGAACACGGTTTTTAGAACCGATTATTTCATTTCTGATGACCACGATCATTCTATATATTGCTGGTTCTAAACGAATTGATAGCGCACAATGGTGTGTGGTTCACCACTGGCGCTTAAGGAATGCGCTAGTATCTTCAGTGAACCAATATTCGTTTTGTTTATCTTTGGGAAAATCCTTGAATGTTGGCAGGCGGATAAGAGAGCACCGGTGCAAGAGAAGGGGACCAGTCGTGGTCAGTTCTATTCTTCTGAACCTGTCTGAACGTCCTTCATTCCATTTCTACTTAATTAACCTCATATTTAAAGCGAAGCAAGTTCGCTCTTCACGTTCCACAGTACGTCGACCGAAAAGTGCATCCTGAGTTATACCAAGAAATCAAACCCCTCCCTGGAAGGAACAATGTGAGCTATTGTTTGTGCACATCTACGCGAACTGTGCTCCGTCGGTGATACAATGACTTGTCAACCAAAAAATTCACACAGTGCACTTCTCAAACTCATTGAAATTTCAAATCCCACATGATCAAAAAAGCTTCGAATCAACTGTGTAAAGCAGTTTTGAACCAACCAGCGCATTGATCAGTCACTCACCTCCGGCATCTCCGACCAAGCCACACGAAACGCACCCTGACTTGGAACACCAAGACGACTCAGTCGGGGTCCTGTCGCTGAGTCGGTTTTCAGACCAGCAGACAAATCTTGCTTATCCTCTTTTACCTCGAGGTCAGTTTCTTGGGCTTGGAACGAGCGACTCACCAATGTCTCATCTTTTGCTTTGACTTCGTCAGACTAAAATATAGAAGCAAAATTGTTGGTACCATGAGCACAACAACAAAAAGACTACAGTTCAGTAATCAAAACAAGATCTAGATCCTTCTGTTTCGTCAAAACTCCTGGATTAGTATTTCGAACTACGGAGTAAATTCGCCGGCCGAAACGACAAATACACACCATGCACTTCTTTTCACCCGGCCAAGCTCTTCCCCTGTTTGCTACTGTTTACTGCGTCTAACTCATAGACTCGATATGAACTTTTAACCCTTGACTTGTCAAACCAATTTGGTCGGCCATCCTTTACGCGCGCTTTTTGACCATTTTGCGTTACCACGTGCCGTACCCAGGCGTGTGTCGCAAACTAAGATCGACTTGCCATCTTTTCCGGGCTTTCTTTGGACTTGAACTACTTCATGCAACATTTTGGACGGAAACCTCCATAATTTGAAGCTTGTACTCCTTTTATTACGTATTTTATACTTGTGGTAGCGTATCTTTTGATAAATCTCAAGAATCCACTATTTCTGGCTTGTGATTTTGTGCGTTAATCAAGTGGGCTTTCCTGAATACTTCGAAGTATTCTACACGCCATCTATGAATGCAGCATTGCCTACCGGCCACGACAGATAGGACCGCAAACGCTTGCATAACGGTTTGTGGAAAAATGACAGAGCTGTTCTTGACTAAAAGAACTCGTACTTGAGAACAGTTGAGTTTGAAATCCGACTACATTTCCACTTAGAGATATGGCGAAGAATTAGATCCATCAGGGAAAACAATAAGACTAGCCTCAAGATAAACAGATTCTCAAAACTGATTAGGAAATATGAAAAGTAGCAAGGAAGCATGGATTAGGAGTCTTTCTGGTAGACACCAGCCCATAAGCATCGAACACATTTTGGTCAGCAATATCTGAACTAATAATGGAACTGGAAGCCAGAAATCAAACAATACAAATAAATTTCCACGTCCTGTTATGTGGGACAAACAGGAGGCTGTGTACAAAACTGTACTTGCACTTAAGTAGCCAGTTTTCATTGGTCTCTTTAGATGAAGATCAATGAATGCCACACTAGCACAAACGCGAACAAAGGAAGGACGTGAATTTACGAAGGTGAGACATTGATCAATGAACATACTGCAATCAATTCAAGCTGGCAAAAATTGACGACGGGGGAACTGCGAATCTACCAAACTCAAAACTGTTTAACGAATTCAGAATGGACCGATAGAACGAAAGGCTGGATAGGCTAAAGTGTCACAGGTAGACCTACTACAAGCAGGAAATGAACCGAAAAGTAAGGTTAAAAAGAAAGCAGAAACGCAAGACAAGTAACATAAAGGAACGAAAGGGAAAGAACAGAGAGAACTACGAACATTTAGAGATATACCAAACCAATCAAGCGGAATTAAAGCTGGCCGCACTGGCAGCATTGATTCGGAACGCACCAATCAAAATGAACACATGCGAAATTCACAACAACCAATCATGCCAAGGGTGTCAACTACTCTTCAGAAACCACATAAACACAAGCATAATTGGAGGGCACACCTACCGAACCAGTCGCTGACAATGTCTCCTAGTATGGTGACGAAACATTTGAATGTAAAGAACGTAGAGAAAGCGAGCATTTTGGAGTTTTTGATTGAACTGCAAAAAGCGCTTGCCTCAAAGGTGCTTTAATTGCGGGGATGTCTTCTGTCTCGTGCTCTCATGTACTCATGTGTTCTCATGTAATAAATTAAGCCGGGTTGGACTTTCTAACTGTCAGTCAGCCTTTTGATTTATTTACCGATGTTGTTCTACCTGCTTGATTCGTTTAAATTGTGTGCAAAATAGTGCATTTTTTTAATCTTTTCAGGAAAATGGATCCATGTGACTGAAAAGAGTACGAGCAATTTGTAAACTGTACTCAGTTTGATAATTTGGTTCCCATCTAAGTCGACAGTGATGTATCGCGCAATGGTGATGATGGTAGACCAGAGCGTAAATCACATGATCATACCCGTTCATTTCCGCTAGTATTTCACGGGAAAGTGCACGAAAACTAATGGGAAGTGCCTTAAAGTTTAGCTGTGGAATTCGCGTTACTATCACTGTCGTCTGAAGAGTGGTCCTCCTATCCTAGTGTCCTGATGGATCAAATCTACAGGTTGATGCATGCACTGGACTGTTCCGCTCCTCGCAGAGATCACCAGCAGTGCGTATCCTTGGCCGTTGGGGAGTCAGGACGAGTCGGTCGACTGACCAACTCAGGTGGGGTTCTTGAAACTTGCTTGAAAATTATTAGTGTTTGAGTACGTGACAGCTGGGCACCAAAAAGCTGCTACAGATGAGTGATTTCTTAATAAAAGGAAATATTCACAAGGTTGCCGCAAATTAGCGAATATACACTGATTTGCAAACTAATTTGGTTTTGCGAGAGACTCACCTGGAACCCAGCTGAATCTCTCGTCCGTGATGTTTCCAGGCAACTGAATGTGCTGCACCAGGTCCCCTCATGTTTCAGTCGCTACGATATTCGAGATATCGTGATACATGTATATCTTTGTGATGCGCTACTCATAAGGTTGCTGAAACTCCTCGAAAGCCCACGATCGTTTTTGCCGTTCCACTTTGAGCTCATATGATAGGCGCAGCCGCCGAGTTTCCGTCAGCCTAATGTTCTACTGGAAACCAAATTGAACGAAATCAGCGAATATACACTGATTTGCAAACTAATTTGGTTTTGCGAGAGACTCACCTGGAACCCAGCTGAATCTCTCGTCCGTGATGTTTCCAGGCAACTGAATGTGCTGCACCAGGTCCCCTCATGTTTCAGTCGCTACGATATTCGAGATATCGTGATACATGTATATCTTTGTGATGCGCTACTCATAAGGTTGCTGAAACTCCTCGAAAGCCCACGATCGTTTTTGCCGTTCCACTTTGAGCTCATATGATAGGCGCAGCCGCCGAGTTTCCGTCAGCCTAATGTTCTACTGGAAACCAAATTGAACGAAATCAGCGAATATACACTGATTTGCAAACTAATTTGGTTTTTCGAGAGACTAACCTGGGACCCAGCTGACTCAGTTTTGATGTTTTCAGGCCGAACATTCTTCGAGAGCCCACAACTGGTTTAGGCCTTCCTAAGGCCTTTCAGATAGGCACAGTCTACGGGTTTTCGTTAGCCTCATGTTCCCACTTAAATCCAAGTCCTAAGAGAGGTAGAGACTGTTCCTGGGATGTCAAAGAGTTTTCAGCAACCTTGTGAGTAGTATCTTTCACGAAACTATGCTGCGATATCTCGGATATCCTACAAACGGAAACGCAAGACGGCCTTTGTGCAGCACATTGGGTCAAAGGACACCACAAATGAGATATCCAGTTGGGTTCCCTATGAAAACCCAGTTGATACACGAATGGGTGTATTTGTCGAAATCAGTCCAGTTTGGGTTCAATTAGAACATAAGGTCGACGGAAACTTGAGGATTTCACCTACCTTATGAGCCTAGAATTTCCGTCAGCAAGTTGTTATTCCCACAATATATAAGTCCTCAGATGGCTTCTAATATTGTCATCCCTTGGATTTCTGTTCTCGCGTTGTTATGTGCCCATTCCATTGAAGCTGAAAACTCTGGATACGAATGCTTTGTGTTAGGCCTAAAATCAATGTACATCCATTTTCAGGTTTAGATTCTGACCTTCTTGTATCCAAAGCAAGCATGTCACAAGTACATTTTCATAAAGGAAACTACTCACGCGAGAGACTCAACTGAATCTGAGTAGTTTCCTTCATGAAAATATACTGCGATATCTCGAATATCGTGCCAACTGAAACACGAGGCGGCCTGTGTGCAACACATTCAGTTGTAGAATATCATAAACGAGAGATTCAGTTGAGTGGCTAGTGAAAACCAAATTGATTTACATGTCACAAGTACTTTACTGGTGCACATTGGACCCACCGTGCATGGAGCTTATGAGAAATTTGTAAAGGGTCGCTCACTAGCCTCTTAAATGACAGTAATATGAGCAAATGTGATAATTTTCAGTAGATATTTCCTCCTGTCAGTGAAGTCAGCTGAAAAACCGAAAAGCGCTGTACAGTTTTCCCATCAGTGTTGAGGGTTAACAGCAGTGCATATCTCACGAAACTCTACGTTTCGGACTCGCAAGCTTCCCGCCGGTGGTTGGACGCCTAACTGTTTGGCCACGAGGGTCTGATCAGCAATATGAGTAGCACTCATTTAGGTATAGGAAGTGTGTCATCAGCTGGACGCTTTGAATGAAGGCTTACTCATACTGTTGGTTGTGCTTGGAGCGCCTGCTAAGGCGAAGGGCCGCATTTCAAACTACAATATCATCGAGTGGAAACTACGCTGTTGAACTCTGATGGGTGGAAAACAGTTGCTTCCGCTTTGGCACAGATCAACAAGAAAAAATGACGTTTGGACAGAAGGAGACGTGGACAATAATTCGAATTGGACTTCAAGGGCAGTTGAAGCCTTCTTTCGCAGTGTGGACATTCCGAAATAGACACTAAAAGCCTAGTCTGTAGCAACACTTCGTTAGCATATACAGTCGAGGGTCACTGCAATGCTAATAGGCAAAGCACTACCCTAAGAACACAGGTTATGATGTCTGGCCGAAAACAATGATAAGTAATAATCATTAAGCTGTACCTAGCTGCCATGCCACCGGGAGCCCGCTCAACGGCTGGGCTGCCCAAGCCCATACAGGAGAATTCAGAATGCAAGTGTTGGGCTCGAACCCTGGACCTTACGGTCAGTAGGTTCAAACTCTAACTACTGAGCCGTCTCGCTCTCGAAACAACAAAATCAGGGTGGTGGGTGAGCGTGCAAATCGAAGTCAAAAAGCTGCTTTCAGAAATACACTTCGTTGTAAACAAATTTGGTTTTTTCCTTATCTAGATCTCTCGTTTGTGATGTTTTCAGGCAACAGGCCGCTTCATGTTTCAGCTGCTAGGATATTCAAGATATCGTGACAGTTTACGACCGATTTCGCCCTTCTTAAGACTAATCAGGTGGGCGCAGTCCCCGAGTTTCCGTCAAACCTGAACCAAAATTGTGTCTACCTGATGGCCTCCAAGCAGAGCAAAAGCAGTCGTGGGCTGTCGAATAGTTTTCAGCAACCTTATGAGTAGTGTAGTACATCTACATTGCCCTCAAAACTTTGAGGATTGATATGTTTACGCCAACTCTGATTCCAGACAGTACAAGGGCTGATTGTCAAACATATACAAACATTACAAATGCAACAAACTCACAGGTAGATCATCCGTCCAACCAAGCGCCTTTTGCTCTTCTTCCACAGGCATTATTTCACGTGGTGACATGCCAACTGAAATGGTTTAGAAAACGGTATTCAGAGAAACTATTTGTATTCGGAGGTGGAATTAACACATATCGGAAATCAGTTACTAATTCGCTTCCGGCCTTATCGTTTTTTACCACCCTGTACCATTTCGTGATGGAACGATATCTTGATAAGTTTTAGACAGCTCACCCGGGGAGAACACATGTTGCGTAACCTGAGTTTCAGGCATTTTCGTATGGGTTTATGGTCTGACAATATGGCTCGGAGCTGGAATCGAGTAGAAATCAATGATGCAATCACAAAATCATGGACAGGATTCACAGTCAAATTTGTTTAGCAGAGAACAAAGAGAATATAAAGGGATTAGAAAGAATACATTTCATACAGAATTACCTGCTTTATAAATTCAGTGTGGATGAGCTTCTAAGTCACAGGCCGAGGAGGATGATACATAATTGGGCTTATTGGCTGGAAAATGTAAGCCGTTTGTTCGTTCAGCTGTAGCATCCTTTCGGTGCCCAACTGCCATGGCACCCGAAGCTTACCCAGGCCTAGGTAGGGGAGGTCAAGACGCAGAGATCGGGCTCAAACCACAGACCTTCCGGTTATTCAATTCGCGCTCTAACCACTTGGACCATCTCTACCTCATGTAAGCCGTTTAATACGTTATAAAGATGGCTTAATTGATTAGAGCGCGAATCTATTGACCGGAACGTCCGTGGTTCGATCTCGACCTCTGCCTCTCGACTTCTCCTGCCTAGGCTTGGGCAACCTGGCAGTATCCCAGCCCTCGTCCAACCTTCGGGTGGAATGGCAGTTAGGCACCGGAAGGGTGTTACAGCTGAACCATTTTTCACATTACACCGGAAACAAAACATAAATACATCGCAATGAAACAGATGAGGCAAAACTTCGAGAAATACACTCATTTGCCAATCAATTTAGTTTTCACGGGATACTCAACCGAATCTCACGTTTATGAAATTCTACAACTGAATGTGCTGCACAGTTGAGTCTTTCGTGAAAAACCAAATTGACTTGCAAATGAGTGTATTTCTAGAAAACAAATCAAGTTGGGTTCAAGTAGAACATAAGTTTGACGGAAACTCGGGGACTGTGCCTACCTGATGAGCCCAAAGTAGAAGGGCGAAACCGGTCAAGGGCTGTCGAAGAGTTTCCAAAAAATGGGTTCCTAAATGACCCTTCAGAAGCAACTGCTTGTCAGTAATGAGTGACAGGTGTGAAGATTGTGCTCTCTGTAGGGGGCAGCAAGTCTGTTTTTTTCACATTCGACAAAACAATTCACTTGTGTCCTTCTGTAGTCTCATCAACAAATCTGATAGGCAAACTCAATTGCTGGACAGTATTGGGAGCACCCTTACTCGGACATCATTACTCACTGTAGGACGCGTATTGTGTAGGACTTTACTATCCTCACCATTTCAACTCTGCAAAATCCTGGGGGAATGTAACATGAGTTTCGAACAAATCAGTCCATTTATAGCCGGACATTCTCGCAACACCCTTCTAAAGGGCATGTCGCAGTAACTGTGTGATGATCCTCATAGGCCTGAGTAGAACCATAATTTCTCTTTTTATTCTCGGATAACTATGCAATAGGTGAATAGTCGAATGGCTCCGAGGATAACTCACGTGCGCTTAATGAGGGCTTATCGAATTGTGGATAGCCCAGTGTGCACCACTGGTTTAAGGCCTCTCTCAGAAAGCGTTCGGTCGATTCATCCAACAGATTCATTAAGGCACCTGCCGCTGTGTTTTTGTCCGGATCATTTTGCGCTCCGGCCGCATCGGACGTTTGGATGGTCGTCGTGACCACTGTGGGAGTCGAGCAGGAAACAGGTTGCTTGCACATGGCGAGCTGTAAACAGATTGTGCAGTGAACAGATTCTTATTTGGTAGAGCTAGAATATGAGTGCAATAGTTTTTCGACATTCTGGCCGGGTTTATGAGAAAATATGTGCCAGTTTTGGTGTGTGTTTTTAATTAACTCCACTAGATTAAAAATATTTTGACATTTTGAAGATGACGCATTTTTTTCACGCTGCACAACGAATTCAAACAAATATGACTTAAGGGGAGTGGTGGTTACACGCTGAAGAGACCTAAATACGCAATTGCCAACTGCGATTACAAAGCCCTGTTCGTGAGACACACTCTGTTAGAAGGGGTTTTATCAAATATTTGTACGAACGCCCACTCCGGCGCTCAATTATTTGAAATCTAGGGAATGAGAAAACTGTACATCACACTATCAGGAGGCCTTAGGGGCCGTAAACTCATTGACTTAGACATATATTTAAATGCTCACCTTGGGGATGATTATGGCTATATCCACGCAAAAAACGAACGTGTTCGGACCTTTAAGGAATTAAGAGGTAATAATACTACTAATAGTAGTGGGGCAAGATGGCTGAAGTGGCTAGAGTGCGAATTAACTGATGACCAGAAGGTCCGTGGTTCGAACCCGACCTCTGTCTCCGGACTTCCCCTGTCCAGGCTTGGGCAACCTGGCAGTATCTTAGACTTTGTGCTTCCTCTTTCTGGTGGCATGACAGCTAGGCACCGAAAAGGCGCTACAGCTAAACGATCTATGGATCAAAATCCCACCCGAAGCAATACGAAATATTAGAATCTGCCAGAACTATGGTTGAAATCGTCCAAAACCACTTGAAATTTTTGAATACCAAGATTCCAATTCACGGCACAGTTATCGGATAGGGAGATGCAAACAGATGAAATAGAAGCTAATTGCATTCAACTTCATCATACTACTTGAAGGAATAAAATCGCTCTTGCGCGGTCTTTTGTATCACCTTCAGCCGTAACACCCTTTTCTGGTGACTAGGTGCCACGCAACTAGAAGGAAGCACAAGGACTGAATTAGCGCCAGCTTTCCAAAGTTTGGGCAGATGCAGAGGCTACCATTCATCCGCAAACCTTTTGGTCGGAAGCTAAAGAAATGCGTATTGTCGCTTTGCAGACGCACTCACTCTATAGCAGCATAATCTTTCAAAATCCACGCACTTGTACATCATTTCGAGAGTCCTTGAATTCGAACCTCTCCTCATATCATGTAAGCTACAAAGTGACCTGATACTCGCTCACAGAATGTTTACTGGCAATTGGGGTTTAGACTCCGCTTTCCGAAATGCTCGGAAACACACAGCAGGGAACACTATCAAAACCAATAAGAAAATCAGATACAGCTGCGAAGAGTAACTGTGAGAACTGTGACAAACGGGCGGGAATCTATCACCCATAATCATCCAACGGTTTGCTAATAGCAAACGGGAACAGTCCTCACACTTCCCCCTCCACTAAGGGCGGAAAATTTGGGGTTAGGAACAATGTCGGCATATTGAGTGAAGCAAGAACCAAAAACAAATACGAAATTATGGGAGCATGGCAATGAAGCAATAAAGCTGAACACCGACCTCAACCCTGACGTCAACTGTCTCCGAGGACAAAAGTAATCCAGAAGCAACAAGCTCTGAGACTTACAAAGAAGTAAACAGGCCAGTAGATGAGAAATCGAGGGAGAACTTATTGGATACAACCACAAGGAGAACATGTACCAGTAAGATGAAGAACCAAACTGGTCAACTAGCGAGACTTGTGAGGAGAGAGAGGGTTTGCAAATCAACCATTCAGGTACAATAAGACACCGCAAGTTATGAACGGGCTAAACAGGCTACGGGACCGAAGCTACCAGAGAAGGGAGTGGTCAAACAACCAAGCAGACAACAGGAAAGCGAAACACAGTGCAACACGAATCGCAGTGGAATCAGTCAGAACGAGAAAAGGACCGTGTATAATGGACCAATCAGAGGTAAAAGAGACCGAACTAACGCAATGCAGATCGCGAAAGGACCAATCAGATCTCGAGTAGGATGCCAAAATAGCTAGAATGGAGGAAATTCCCGACCAAATGAAGTCTGATGAGGTCCAGTTCAGCAGCCACCTGATCAGCAGCCGAGTCGCTTTTTTGTAGAAAGTATGCAATTCAATATGGTACTTTGTAAACCCAAAGTGTGCTGAATAAGGAGGGGGCTTAATCAAACACTCTGAGGACTTTTTGTGGTGATATTGTATGAAATCCTCAAGTTCCGGGACATTAGAACAAGTCTATTTTCTCCATGGAAACTAGTGGTGACAGTCGTGATTCAGCTGTTAGCATCCCGCTGAATTTTGCCGCAACTGCTTCCGTCCGTTGGCCCAAATATTTCACTTAAATCTGTCGACGCTCATTCAGTTGCGAAGGCAGATTCATAATCGCTGTTGCACCGACATTATACGCGCCTCTGTTCATTCGACAACATCAGCCAGTAAGCATGTCACCTTACCCACCTACTCCAGCCATATGCACTTGTGAAACGGTGATTATACTGACGGGGAAGCATGCGAGTAGTATGTGTTGTTCGTGGAATTTTGCTTTGCGTCTCTTTAAAAGGGGAGATCTGTTGTGGAATTTGTCGAGCTGCTTTGTAACCTTTGCTTGGATTTGAGCAATGAATGATTAAAGTCAATGAATATCCAGGAAAGTTCTAGGAGATGCGCTCAGGAGAAGATGGATGTCCATTTTTTGTAAATAAGATGCAAATGAGAGTTTTGCTTCCCTGTCTAATAGTCTGTAACCGGTCAGTTGACATTTTCCAATAAATAACTCCGCAGCGAAGGCCTCCTTCCTTTCACTAGTAGGAAACTCGTGGCCAAACAGGTATTGTACAACGAAGAAGCGTGGGTCGGTCGCTTGCGCCCAGAGGACTCTATCGATCCGATTATTCACAGTGGCATGGGAAGATATGCACCCCGAACATGAATTAGCCTGAATTAAGATACTGATAGGAATAGCGGTAAGCGTTTTCGGGTTAATAGAATTCATGTTCACATCACTCTCTTTTGAAATACCGTCTTCCTATCCTAGCACAATTGTTCTAGTGAGTCCATACCAGGAGTGTACAACCTTGGCCGGTCTGAAATCAGTCTGAAATTGCGAGCGCGTTACTACCACTCCTTTTCTGAGTAGCTCTAATACGAGCAGAACTCGAGTTCCCTCTCTCGTTTGTTGCGGACCCAGCAGGATAATTGGACTAGAACGGTGGGCACAACGTCTACAAATCCAACAACCACTTACAACTAGAAAACTGTTCGGCAGGTTTCAAGCATCTGCTGGAAATCCTGACACAAAGTCCAGTCAAGCGAACAGTTAGTGGATCGTTTTCGGGGTCATCGAGCTTCCCAATCGTATCGCTCAAGAGTGAGTACGTCCGCCTATTTAGACGTGAAAACCCAGCGTGTGTTTCGGAATAGTGATAAGACGCTCACCTCGCATGTCAGGTGACCGGACTCTGCCACAGCCAGTGAGTGATATTCAGTGCCGATGAACTCTAATAAGACCGAAATACGTGTCCAGTGCTTCCTTCCCGCTTTATTGTGGATTCAGAACTGTCCAAACGACCGCAATGTGAACATGAATGATGTGACGGTTTGTACCGTCGGACAACGATGCTTCAATATTGGTTCGAACACTTACGCTTCTAACATTAGCACGAACGGATACGGCTAAACAAGAATGCACGAATGAACCGGTTCATTTGACCGGCCGGTTTATTCGACGAGACTGATACATACAAAGCAATTTCACATCTTGTTCAATGACCTGATTTCCCACACGCATGAAACATGTATCCGTTATGTGAGGCGGAGTAAAATCCAATACATGCCATAAGTAAGGGTGATCGAGGCGGCTGGGGATTCACTCTGGAACATTGGCAGGACTTTTTTTCAAGTTCGCCCTAAAATGTTCAAGATACTCCTTCACAGAACACAGAGTAGACAACTCGAATCCAAATTGTAGTGCTGTCCATTAGCAGGAGATTGAATAGTTGATCTCCTTGGTTCTGTCCACGTATTTATCATCGTTGATAGCTTAGCTAATTTGGCTGTGAGGCTGGTGAGCATTCTTCAGTTTTGTATGAGAGCCGATGGATCCTGTATAACTGATTCTTCGTCGCTCGGGAACACAAACACTGAGCATCCAGCAAATCTGAATAGAGCTTTGAAGTTTGCATTCCCAGGTAGGTTAATGTAAACTTAAACAGGATAGTGTCCCTTTGTAGTGTACTACTCATAAAGCTCTTTTTGTCTTTCAATCACACAATCTTTTTACTGCGGAAATGCTCAGTGGTTAGAGCGCGAATTTACTGACCGGAAGGTCCGTGGTTCGAATCCAACCTCTGTCTCCTGACTTCCCCTGTCTAGGTTTGTCAGCCTCGCAGTATCACATGCCTCATGCTTTCTTCGGGTGGCATGGCAGCTAGGCACCCAAACAGTGTTACAGCTGAACGTTTTTTTACGGTGGTCATCAGGCAAGAGACTGTTCAACTGGACTTTGTGATCCTAGCAGGACACGAATTCACGTTTCATCACCATAGCGACAACATCAGTGTTCAACCTTGACCTCGCACGGATACTAGTCATGGGTGACTGACAACTAAGTGAGTCAGAACGAGTCAAGAGAAGTTTGCCGAGAAGTCCGTAAATGATACTCTATCGAGTCGTAATTCCCGGTTGCTCAGGCCTAAGAAAGGGGTTCGGTTCGGACGCCTCACCTTGAGAATTCGGCTCAGAGACCGACTAGCAAGAGAGTGGAACGATATAGAGTTTCGTTTGAGGACTCTTTAAATCAAACACCGAACGTTGGGCATTTGGAGCTTGCAGTTTCTGTTGCTGAACTTTGCTAACCCGTCCCTTCTCGGGGAAGGCAGGGTCATGGATCCTGCCAGGCCCTTGGGGGTCATCCTACTGCCTTCGCATTTCTATCATATAGGGTGGTATGACTTTGCCTCTAGATCCTCTCGTAATACGGGCGGTCCCGTTCTTTATCATAGGGGCTCGCCGTTCGTGAGCGATCTGGTATCCCTTGTTCTTCCTGACAAGGTTGCACCCTGTGGAACAAAGTTCCGACCACTGCACGGCAACCAGGATAAGGTGACAAGCTTGGCTTCACACAACCAGTGAAACTTTCATCTGAGAGGTCGTCACTCGTGGAGACAGTCACAATGTGACCTCGTTTTGTTGGCTCCGTGATTGGTGCCAACTGATCACTGTTAAACAGCCACCCGCGGTTTTATACTACATCTTTTTACACCACAAAACTAAGTACCTTGGACCACTGTAAAACAAGATTATGAAATGTACTACTCATAACGTTGCTGAAAATCTGTCGACAGCCCACGACCGGTTTCGCCCTTTGTTGGTGCTCATCAGATAGGCGCATTCCCCGGGTTTCCGTCAACCTTGTGTCGAGGGCTGTCGACGGATTTTCAGCATCCTTATGAGTAGTACATTACATGTACCGCGCTATCTCGAATATCGTAGCTACTGATATATGAAGCGGCCTGGTGCTGCACATTCAGTTGCCTGGAAACATTATAAACGAGAGACTTCGCTGGGTTCCAGGTGAGTCTCTCGAAAAACCAAATTAGCTTGCAAATCAGTGTATATTCGCCAAGTCTATGAAACGTTTTCGTTCCTTTGTGGAGAGACACATCTATACGTTAATATTTTGTTGTCTTATTCGGCCGATAGTCCCGTGTGCTTACCTGAGGACTACAGCATACTGTTAGGACCCAAATCCTGCGTATTTTATCAGGAAGTGGTATCAAGTATTCCCTCAGCCTCACCAGTCTCCAACAATTATGCTGTCTCTGTTCTCCAATGCATTATGAATGCATTCATAGATAAGTGAAACGGTGGGTACTACTGATGAGAACCGCGAGTAGTATGTTTTCCCCTCCGTGCGTCCACTGTGTATCTATTGGAAATTGATTTTTTTTTAATTCAAGGTTAATTCAAGGTTTAATGGTCTAAAAAGCGAGTAACTTTACAAGGACCATAGGGTGAACGTATATACACAAAGGGACGCAAAAATATGCGTAATGTTTACTGAGTATCACATGGAGTTAAATAGTTCCAGATTCGGTTTGGACATAAGATGTGCATCTAAATTGTTCTTGAAAATGGTTAAACTCGGCGAATGTACAACATTGGGAGGTAGAGAGTTCCAAATGAAACATACGCGGACCGCAAAAAAGTTCCGTCGACAGTTCACCCTCGAGTGAGGTACCGCGAGCGAAAAGTCATGCCTCCTGCCCGTTCGTGTTCGACGTCGGACAAAAAGGTCTTCCAGCGGATGATTAGGTGTCTTCAGTATATTATATGTTAGAATTAGGTCTCCCCTGATGCGCCGATAGTAGAAGTCAAATAGGTTGAGACTGGCAATCCTGTCTTCGTATGGTTTATTTTGCAATCCAATTACCAGCTTCGTGGCTCGATGATATATTCGCTGTAGAAGAATTATGTCTTTTTGAAGCCATGGTGACCAAGCTTGTATAGCGTATTCCATGGTTGGTCGGATGTAGGTATTGATTACTCGGGGCAGTGCCAGTCGAGTGAAACGACCAAAAATCCGTTTTAGGAGCGACAGGACTTGTGAGGTCCTCTTGTAGACGGCTGTGCATTGCAAGGAGTTTTTTAAACAGCTGCTGACCCACACGCCAAGATCTTTTTCTTCACTAGTCCAAGAAAGTGGTTGTGGACCCAACGTATAGTTATATGCAAAGGGCTTCCCTACACGGAGCATTTTACATTTTTGGAGGTTAAACGGTAGTCTGTTTTTCAGTGACCAATCATAAAGTGTATCGAGATCTTTTTGTAATCGGTGACAGTCTTCAATGGTGCGTATGCTTGACCATATCTTGATATCGTCTGCGAATAAAGTGATTTTACTGCTCACGAGCTCAGGTATATCGTTTACGTATAATAAAAATAAAGTAGGCCCAAGAACAGAGCCTTGGGGTACTCCACTTGTAGCTGCAATTGGCTTGGACAGAGCGCCGTCAACACATACACGCGCGTCTCGGTCAGCCAAATAGATTTCAAGCCAAGCCAGCAGCTTTCCCGTAATACCATAATGCTCGAGTTTTTGCAACAATATGTTATGGTTCACGCGATCAAATGCCTTGGAGATGTCTAGATAGCATGCGTGAACGGGATTTCCATTGTCCACAGCTTGCGTCCAGTCGTCTAAGGTAATGAGGAGATTGGACAGACAGGATCTGTTTTTTCTGAAACCATGCTGGGCAGCCGAAAGCAATCCGTTTTCCTCTAAGTGTTTAATGATTTTGTTTGCCACCAGTCGCTCAAGTACTTTGGAGATCACCGGCAACAGAGTCACCGGCCGGTAATTTGACACGACCGAACGATTACCTCCTTTATATATGGGAGTGATAACGCCCCTCTTCCAGTCGGTGGGAACCGCACCGTTATTTAGGGACAAATTGAATAACTCAGCGAGAGGTGTGCATAGGGAATGAGCACACTGCTTGAGGATAAATGGTGTTATCTGATCGGCACCGGGAGATTTTCTGTGATTTAGTTCAAGTAACGTTCGGAGTACACACTCTGGAGTCACAATTACTTCATGTAGGGAGGTGGGCGGTGAGGGAGACATAAACGATCTATTATGGACTTTGTGGAATTGCCTTGTAACATTCGTTTACATTTGAGTGATAGTCAACGAATATCCCGGAAAGTTCAGGAAGACGCGCTCGAGCAGAAGACGGATACTCAGTTTTTATAAACAAGATGCATATGAGAGTTTTGCCTCCATTTCCAAAAGTCTGTAGCTGTTCATTTGGTGTTTTTCAATGAATGATTTGGCAACGAAGATCTCCCTCTCATTTGTATCAGGTATTCCTGTAAACCTTACCATTCTCAAGACAGTATCTCTGACAATTTTCTGTTGTCTCTCTCCTCTCTCCAATGCATTATGGATGTATTCACAGAGTAAGTGAAAAACAGGGAAGAGAAGACAATGACTGACGAATAGGGGACTGTGTAGCATATAATTCCTCTATTCTTACCTGTTGTCCAATCAGTCCATATCCCTGGTACAGTGGTAGGTTGGCGAAGCGTGACTGGAAGTGCTTTGCTGCACTCTGATTCAGACTGTGTTTGAAGGGCGAACCCTGTGAGGGTTGGACAATCACCTGTTGGTTGCACCCGGTGGCCGTAATGGACGGCAACAGAAAGCCAGCTTCCGAAAACAGACGTTCAGATTCCTGGGTGAGGGACGAACAAGCGATTCATCCATCAGTTGTCAGTTATAAAAGATACTTGTCGATTCAACACACTCACTTGTATGGCCCATAAATTAAGTCCTCTGGCAATTCCGTTTAGTTAGGCCCGTCCATTTTCTATTCTGATTCTGACATACACACTCTCTATACATCCTCCTTTTCCAAATGTAAAGAATATGCTTATTTTTCTATATGAATAACACAATTTCGTACAGCTCTCATCTTTCAGACCAACCAGTCCGTGTGAGTTCCCTTCGAAGAGAAATCGAGTGGAAATCATTCGTTGAAATCCAGTGAGGTAGGCCGCCCATGGCTCTTGGGGACAGTCAGTCGTCTAGGACATCTAGGAGGAACTTGAGTACTTCGATATTCAGTCACACTGGTAGTTGTGAGTGAGCATTCTTACTTCTGAGAGATCTGTGAGGCTAACCACGCATCAAGGGTAGGTCAGTTTCAGTTTCTAACATTGAGGGTGATGTCATGACAAGTTAGTCCGGGCGGGTGCCACTGACTGTGTGACTGGGCCATGCTGCCAGTGTCATTAACAATTCATTAGTCAAGTCCGGAGGTTCGAACCTAGGGAGGTGATAGCTGTCGATCGGTCTGTTGGTTAGTCTTTTCAGAATTCGTTGCCGGGTTGTAGACTATCTACCTCTTTGTCACTCCCACTCAGTACAGGGCCTAGTGAATGGAGACTGGTGAGGAAGATGGCCCAATGGTTTGAGGAATACATGTCCTAACCTATGAAGTGGGAATAACTCATCTGCCATGAGACTTTCCAAAACCTTCTGTGTGCTTCGGCATTGCAAATACAGTGTTTCCCCTAGATCCGGCTGACGCTTCAGAGACGCTGACGGCTTGTCTAATGCCTGTGTACCTAAAAATCAAGACTGTGAAATAGTTCACACTTCTCTAAACTGCTTCGGGAATCTTGATAACGCCAATATAAGAAGTTCGTTCAAAATTTAAGAAATTCATTGAATAGTTCTGAGGAATACAAAGACGTTCGGTTGTTGAAGCGCGTGAGAAGTAGAAGAGTAGAGGAGTAGAAGAGCAATAACCGACTCACCTTCATGGCTATCAAGGCGAGTTGTTCAGTGTCTTCAATGTCACTGCAAAAGAAGGATCACAAAGGGATGACATTAGATTTCTTAGTATAAATTAGGGGTGAGAATTTCCGTCGAAACACAAACCCTGTTTTATGAGCGTACAAAAAGACAAATGGATTGAGAGTGGTGCGAAATTCATGTGTGTCTTGCACTGTGTGCTCTACATCTCACTTTGGGGAGAGTGGTGCGAAATTCATGTGTGTCTTGTGTGTTCTCTACATCTCATCTTGGAACCGAGTGGTCGTGCCATGTGTTTGAGTTGCTTCCATATGGTCAGGTAGGCCGGACCCAGTGGCAAATTATCCAACCTTTTCAGATCATGGCGGAACATACTACTCGGTGAATTGCTGAAAGACACCGTGAACAGGAGGCGTAGCTGGATTATCGTGTCAGAACAGATTCAATGCGCAGATGAGTATACGTCTCAAACTATCAGACCTAGGTTCGCGCGAAGATGTCACGAGGTTTTGCTGAAGTATATGCACGGTAACAAAGTTGACCTGATGGTCCTCAGCTAATACGTGATAGTCGACAGCTGAGTCAGGTTCCCCTTCGTTCAGTTCCCTCCTGTTTCATGGAGTGATCCCGCAGTGTGACGTATATTTGCTGATTCATACATTAAACTGTCTGCTCATTTGTCCAATCTAAACACACTTACTATCAGTACATTCAGTCGTGGTAGACAAAGTCGTTTATTGGGATTAAACGGTTCTTTCAAACGAACCAATTGGTGTGCTGTCCATTGGTAAAAGGTTGCTATAGTGATGAAGGAGGGGACGTAACAGAAGCGTTCACATGTGAGAAACCGGTATATAATCTGTGAGTTTTCGCTCGGCAAATCAGTGTGCGAGTCATCGAGATCCGACCGGATTGGTTTGTGAGGAACCTTGGTTTTAAAGTAGTCATGTTTCCAAAATAATTTACAATCGTTCTCGTGGGTGTCTTGTTCTATGGTGATGTAAATTCAGCTGCCAACTTGACGTTAGTAGACTTGGTAAAGGCTTAAACCATCTGCTCCTTTAGTGGTGAAAAAGTCGGACAGCTCTTTTGTCGCCAGTCCACACGAACAACCCGCGCAAGGTGGAGAGCCACCCAGCACGGAGCCATCAGTAAGCTCCAAATGAACTGTTACAAACTATTAGACTATAAAGCAAACACATCTCATATGCACCTTATTTAAAAAAAACGGAGCATCTTCACACGTTTCATTCAACTTTCGTGGATATTCATTGACTATCCCGCAGTTCTAAGGCTGCAAAGCATTTCTGCAGCCTTCATAATAAACCCCGTAGGAGTGCACCTTCTATCAGAAGCAAGTCGGAGTTACGAGAGAAGCGCATGCTACTCGCGTGACTCATCAGTAGTATCCTAAAAACTTTCAGCTCTTTGAATTCACTTTGGAGATGACCCTTCAAAATTGGAACCTTCAGATGGCATACTTAATTCAGTGAATGGGAAAGAGTTTGGTGATATCCAGTCCATATCGTGGTGAAAGACACCGAGCATAAACTTTAAAGCACAGTGTGAAGCATAGTCATCCTTAGCGGATTTCAAGGATAATCGTCTTTTCGAATGAATTCATTTGATATCGGTTCAGTCTAACACAATAAGCTATTACCACGTGTCTGTAACCCCGAACGAATTCTTCCGATCACGTTTGCTAATTTGCGTCACTTGTGACATCAAAAAGGCATCTCACTAGATCTTAAGGTTCATATATGGATGCGAGACATGGCCACTGCGGACAGATGATGTGAGGCGTCTTCAGGTTTTTGGCCAACGACGCCTCAGCATGTCAGCGTGAGCTGATCAGAAAACGGGTATTTGGCTGTGCGGCAGGTACTTCAATCGGGGAAAACATCCAGCACTACCGACTACGATGGTTCGGTCATGTGTTACGCGTGCCGAATCACCGTCTACCGAGACGAGTGTTGTTCTCCGTGCCTCCTTCAGAATGGTGCAAACCAAGAGGTGGACAGTGTGTGAAAGAGATCACGAAGAGTTTGCGTGATGTTGGTGTTGTACGCCTTCCAGGGTGAGGTCACTCTAACCCCGTCTGTGCTGGACTGTAGACGTTGCAAGAAATGACGGCTAATCGATGTCAGTGGCGTTCATGCCGTCAGTTTCTTTCCAGATTGTCTGATTGAGCGGTTGGTGGCATAGGCACCTCAGAATGCTTGACACATGTCAGCACTAGGTCCCGTCTCTCACCCACTCTTCTTCTCTTCTTTTCACCTTAGGGCTTTAAATATAAAATATGTATACTTATATAACTAGACGGACCCCATGGTTATACGTCAGCGAAGCATCAGTGCCAACACTGATGTTGCTGTCTTTGATGATGATGATGAATTTACAGGCACCTGTGTTGCATCAGAGAGTATTGAAATAAATTAGTTGAAAACTGAATGTGAAGCCCTCAATGTCAGCAAATTGTGGACGATTATATTTTACCAGATCGCGGCAAAATCGGATGAGCCCACCAGGAATACCCAGAAAAAATTCAAACATTTCGCTTCAGGTTTTCCTTTCTGCATTTTTGTTAACTTTCGTTGCCATTTCTCATTTGTTTCAAATGTAATGAGCTACCACTGTCTGAACGTCCATCTTGCTTTGGAACCGC